AATTTGCCACAATTGTCCGGCGGATTTAATCCGTTTGGTGTGCTCTCGAAATTCGCCGCTCGCGGCTTTTTGTTATGCGTTGGCTTTCTCATCGCCGCATTTCCATATTTCACTCAATTCCCTGGCTTGATTTGATTTGGACCCTTGCTGATATTGCCCACCATGTGTAGTATCACCCCTTTCCGTGTGTCTTGCTGGGAAATGGTCTAGTTTACAGTGGCAATGGGTCTATGGTAATGGTGGATTATGTGAGGATGGTCCAAACTGCTAGTTAGAAGAACATACTGTTAGTTATTCCAAAATACCTTCCCTTTTCTAACAATATAACTGATAACTCGGTAGGATCTTTAAAAATTCCTTAAACATTTTTGTACCCGTTACTAGAAGAGTAAGAGAGAAGGTAGAAGCGTATATTCTTAATCACGATCACTAGCCAAGTCTGTCCGTATGAACACTGAGTTCTTGGAAACTTTAAGAGCTAAAGTGTTGAGACTTGGAATGCAGATTCTTGGGCTTCCTGCACAGCGCAAGTGCCACGCCCACTCTAACGCCCACAAATGACTATAACACTAAAACACGTCTAGCGCCCACATATTTTAATATTTTGTAAAAATGTAAGCGAGAGTTTGTTCTTATTATCAAAACCTATCTGCATACCAGAAGTTATTAAAATCGGTCCAACCATTAAAAAGTTATAACCAAATAATAATAAATATTTTGCAATTTAATAATTATGGTATCATAGAGTTTCTTCAAAATGTATTGTATCAAATCTTTCTAAACAGGAAATTCCTTGATTTTATTTTATCGTGAAGGTTAAAATTTTATAATTAACGTACAATATTCATATACTATTTTGTAGTTCAATGTTCCAAATCTTAAATTTCATTTTATCTAATTTCAAAAGTCGTGCCCCACTGTATCCTTTTGGAGGCTGTGGAGCACTCAACACTTTTGAACCAAAAAGCCTCGGTTTGTTTGCTTTGCTTTCACACTTTTTAATAAAATAAATGCAAAAAAATCACTGGAATTGGGTAATTGAGTCAATTTGTCGGCTCTGTGCGCATACACACTTGTGCACTTTAGAACTCACAGATACTGACACAGAAGAGGAGAAAGGTCGGACTCAAATAGATGTAAAATTTCCATAACACGAGACGCAAAAATTTATTTTTAAATATTTTTTATTTAATTGTATGCTTTAAAGTATTCAACAGTTACATTTTAGATATACAGGGTCAAAAAGTTTAATTGTGTATTTAAAATGGTAATTGCAAACGTAGCTCAAAAGTTAACCATGACATAGTCCGTGCGAAAACCGCGACGATCGATGGCGTAGATATTGTCCGCTTGACATTCGTAGAATCCTGAAGTATAAAGGTATCAGGGGATTAATCTTTAAACAATGAAATAAATATATAAATTTACTTACCAGCATCCATTTGTGTAGTTGGATCAATTTCCATTTTAGATTTAACGATGTTCGTCTCTATGTGAGATTCGTGCACCTGGATAAGGAATTAACATATCATTAGATAATAATAAATAATATTTTTTTAAGAGTACCTGAAAGAATCGGTGCTGGTATAGCTCTGCTCCATCCTTAAACCAGGTGATAGTGGGCCTTGGGTTGCCTAAAAAATAAAAATCCCAGTACTAAGTACTTGAATTCGCTTATACACAATCTTATTCCCACCTTGAGCCATACAAAAGAAAGTAATCTTGCGTCCCAGGGTGTAATCCAACTCGAAATGGGAAGATTTTATGATCTTGGCACCCTGAATATAATATTATAAAGTAGTTAAAAATCTATAATTTATCCTTGGCCCACTCACATTCTCGTGATCATAATAGTTGACTGCATCCTGTGATCGGTGTTGGATGACCACGGGTTTTTTGCCCGTATAGTTGCGTCGCTCCGTCTTTCCCGCCGTACTTCCTACGAAAATATCCGATGTTTAGCTAATATTTTAGAGCACTTTGACCACGTACTTTGGGCAGCTGTATAGATGAGATCCCCGAATATCAAGATGCAGAGGAAGAGGAGTACCATCCGCTCAAGATTCCAGATGCCACGAGGCATTATTGTCGAGCCGAGATGCCGATCGCTTGCGGTGAATGTTGTTTTCAAACTGCGCTCCCGAAATCCGAGCAGAAAGCCATCCACTCCGCTTCAATCCGAGCGTTTTTATTGAATTAAGTGGATCTAGTTGGGGTCGCCAGAAGGTGCGACGTCACTTTCCATTTCGCAACATTGTTGCAAATTCGCTGGACATCGCAATCATTGTGCTCTCGGCTTTATCAGTCGCCCTGTTTTTATCGTCTCATTCATCACATTTATTTTTCACCCATTTGCAGTGGAATGTTCAACGTGCCCCATGTGACCAGTATTTACCTGGTGAAGAAGTCTGCCTTCAATGCCATCTCCTTCAAGCACAACGAATTCGATCCCGACATGGCCATGTGTGAATCACTGCGGAATGAGGTAAGTTTTGAAAAATATAAAGAAACCATTTTATTACAATGGTTAAATAGAATTATTAACTTAATCATTTTGAAAACCAAAACTATTTTTGAGTTGATAGTGGATAGATGATGGATACAATTTTTACATTTCCAGAAGTTATCTAGATCAAAGTTTGTTAGATCTATCATTATTTTTGATTTTTTGAGTTCGAAAATCTAATGAAATATACCATTTTGATACTAATTAGATAGCCGATACAAATCAGCAATGATTATTAATTTTTAATTGATTTTGCTCAAATCTTATCATTGTATCTGATTTCTTATAAATATTTATTAGGAATAATCAAAATAATGATTATTTCTTATTATTTGAATATTGTTTCTAGTCAGAACTTGAAATCGGTTAAGTTTGAATTGTGAGGATGTTTTAGAATGCTTAGAGATTTGGCTTATACAGGTTTTTTAAACAAGAAAAAGTTACGTGACCCAAACCCAAGTTAATATGGAATATATCTAAGTTATTTTAGTTAGCAAATATAAAGGTTTGTCCCCTCTTCTCCGCAGGGCATCTTCATGTACATTAGCAATCTGCGCTCATTCGGGCACTTGGTCAACGCCGATAACTTCAATAGTTCGGTGACACGTCCGGACTTCCATACGCTGTTCAGCAACCGGTTGGATTGGACCGAGAAGTACATACACCCGAACTACTCGCTCCAGCTGAACACCAGCTACAAGATTCCGCAGCCGTGTCCGGATGTCTTCTGGTTCCAGATAGTGACGGACGCGTTCTGCGACGATTTGGTGGCCATTATGGAGGCGCACAACAGCTGGTCCGATGGTAGCAACTCCGACAACCGACTGGAAGGCGGTTACGAGGCGGTGCCCACCAGGGACATTCACATGAAGCAGGTGGGCTTGGACCAGATGTATCTCAAGTTCCTTCAGTTGTTCGTTAGCCCGCTGCAGGAGCGCGTCTTCGACGGCTACGTTCACAATGTAAGTTTAAGCTATGTCTTTACTTGCCTATAGAAAGTATTTAACAATGTGGTAATATTTTTTGTAGCCTCCCCGCTCGCTGATGAACTTTATGGTGCGCTACCGGCCGGATGAGCAGCCTTCCTTGCGACCCCACCACGATGCCTCCACGTACACCATCAACATCGCCATGAACCGGGTGGGAGTGGACTACGAGGGCGGTGGCTGTCGCTTCCTGAGGTACAACTGCTCCGTGACCGACACCAAGAAGGGATGGATGCTGATGCACCCGGGACGACTGACCCACTACCACGAGGGTCTGCTCGTGACCAATGGAACTCGCTACATCATGATTTCCTTCATCGATCCGTAGAGGAGCTACTTTAGGATATACTCTTTATCAAACTGCCATATTGGCCACTCCAAAGAACTGCATACTAAGCCCAATGAACGATTTGTGCCGATGGAATTGCGGCATCAGCCTTCTGTTTCTGATGATTTTACATACTATTTTGAGATCGATAGCTTTAGGTTCCCCCGACGAATCTGTTGCAGCCTTAAGTTAATTGTAAGCTTTTTTACCAAGTGCAAAGTGTTCAATTTTTGACTAAATAAATTAATTCAATTATTCATCATTTCGTATTGCAATTGCTGGAGAGTTACATGGGTTATTATAGCGTTACAGAAATATATTCTATGTTTACTTAACTTTGTTAAAATTGCTTAATTTAGGATGTATATTTAATGAATGGATTATTGTTTAGTAAATCTTGACAATGATTATTTTTGATAAATACAATGAAAATGGATTAGGGGTGTAGTCAAATACGAGTAAATTCTTTTTAAACTTATTTTTTGTGACTTGCTTTCTTTCATTTACCCTTGATATTTACCTCATAAACAATTTATCTTTTTAAAACCTTCTCCCCCTTTTTTCTCCTATTTTTTATGTTATCCATTCTCGTTCTTCTCTGTTCCTACACTTTTATCAAGCTCAAAAATGCAATATTCTTTAATCACGGCGCCATGTGTTTTTCCTCTTCATGAACATGAGTCATACTTTTCCTGATCCTTGACCCCCCATTCTGCATAGCAATAACCCCTCACCACTTTCTTCACAACTCCTTCCACCTATCTCCTATCTTTGCACTGATCATCCTTTCCCCATGTGTTCTTCCTCTACCATGAAATGTTAAGATGCAACGATTTCTAACAGAAATGTTTTGATACATCTTAACAGTGCTGTTAGATTTTGATACATCTAAACATTTATGTTAGAAAATCAACACTTTTTCGGTCTGGCAACGCTTGATTCTTTTAATTTGGCAGTGGCAACGCTTAATTCTTTTAATTTTTGAGAAATTTTAAAATATGGTTTGTGTTTATACTAAATCAAAAGTCATGAATACCCCATACTTTTGACTTACAACTTATACTTTTTAGCGTATAAGACGGCTATCGCCATCTGGCGGAATTCGTCAAAACTTAATTACACCTCAAAGAGCTTTTTGAGTAGGGTTCATTTCTGGGCTAATATTCGCCGCATTCGCCGTGTTCGCCGTGCATACGCGCGTGGGCTGTATTTAAGCGCTCTGCAAAGCACTTTTGTTATTATTGCTCGATATTCGTCCGCGAAGCTGGTTCGTTTTTCGCTCTACAAAATAGGAGTATCAACAAAAAATTAGCTCTAAGGCCATACAAAAAATTCGAAAAGCAACAAATTGTTTGGCAAAATTAAGCACAATTAAGGGATATTTATACCATTTTAAGCAGACTAAGTGTGCGGGTGTGCGGTAAACTTACAGTTAGTTGCGCAAAGTGCGTGTTTAAAAATAGCAAAAAAGAAGGAAAACGCTGGAGAAGAAAACCGAAATAAATATGGAGAGGAATAAATGAATGGCAAAGAGAAATGCAAATTTATCGGTCGGTCAATTTAAAAAGCCGCATCCTGGAAAAGTGTCAGTGCCACTGTGTGCGTGTGTGTCTGTGAAATAAACAAAAAGGCGAAAGTTTGCTCGCTCTCTCTCTGTCTCTCTGAGCTGCCCTCTCTGTCGCTCTCTCTGTCTCTCGCAGGACGAACTTCCTTCGATTTTTCTTCCGCCTGCTTTTCCTGTTTCATTTCCCCACATTTTTTTATTACTCTATTTACACTTGGCCAGCCTGTATATGTGTGTGTGTGTGTGTGCCATCCCACACCTGCTGTTTTTGTTGCTGTTGCTTTAAGCCGCTCCTGTTGGCCAAGTTTCTTGTTGTTGTTGCCTGGCAACCGTTAAAAACAACAGCAACAACAACAACAAGCACAGGCAAAAGGCTTTTTTCATTTTCAAAAACATTTGCTCTCTTATAAAATCCGAAAAAAATAAAAAGAAAAGCCCAGCCAGACAGTCTGGAAAATCCATAGAAACGCAAATTTTAGCCGGCACTAAAAACCGAAAGTGGCTGTATCCCCGATTTTGATGAGCAGCCAACAGAGATTTCCGGTATCCAGCCAAGTGGCGAGGTGGAGTTCCACGCTCCAGGTGAGTGCTACACCCATAGAGTGCCATACTTACCTTACCACCCCGTTTTGATATCACCGCACACGGCGAAAAAACATTTCCTCTTCGGGACCCAAATTTGCTAAGTTACTTTTTTATCTAAATGTTGTCTGGAATTAAAACGAAAGTGGAAATGAAAAGTAATTCCCATACGGAAATGAAGTTTCAAACACTATCAGTGACATAAAGAAACCAAAATTGAAATAAAAAGAAAGTCTCAAAGGGAACCGAAGTTCTAAACACTATCTTTGACTCAAACTAAGGAAACATTTTTAAGTACAAGATTGATGGCACTAAAATTTTTCCATTGCTAATTGTCTAGAACATTTCTGCATCCGCTCCCTCATTTTTATGGTGGGCTAAAGATTAGCAGATAACATGTAGAATGGTCTATTTAAAAGCAGCTAGTTTTAGCCATGAAACTTAAGTACTATCCCAAGGACCAGACAAGCTTGCTGTCATTTTACTATCTTTATGTTAATGTATTTAATATAATACTAGATTGGGAGGATTAAATGTCATATAGCTTTTTTATTGACCCATTAAGAAATATTACTGGAGCTTAGTAATATCAGATTCATCATTTATAACAATACAACTAGAGGAAACTATAGAAAAATGTTTATATTTTTCAATAGTTAAGTATATATTGTACCAACTATTTCTCAAATATATTTATTTTTGTATAAATGCTTTATTATAATGCTTTAAAACAAAAAAAAGTTGAATATTTTTTAATATATTAATATATATATATATATATATATATTATAGTTAAGATGTATCTTGTACCGACTATTTTCTCAAATATATTTATTTTATTACCACATTTGGAGGATCAAAAATACAATTCTTCTTTTTTTGACTCATTAAGAAAATGACTGGAATTTCGATCCATTATCCTATATAACAAAGCAACAACAAATTGGTATGTTTTTCAATGGTTTATCGGTTAAGATATATGAACCTATTGTTTTCTCAAGATTAATGAATATAAATTTGGCAAGTGGTCTTATTTAGTTTTAACAAAGCTACTTGGACAATGTTTTCTCTATTTAAAGCAAAGAAATTTGGATGAAAAATCGTATATTTAGCTGAGTGGATTTTTTTCCGTGGAGGGGAGTTTGCATGTGTGCCGATTGCTTGCTATTTTCTATTAGCGGGTGCTGGATTTTCCTCCATCGTCGCCGTGAGCAGCTGTTAATGGCTTGTGAAAAAAGTAAACGAAACTGAGCGAAAGGGGCTAGAAGGTGGTGGAAAGTTGGATAAGTTTAGAAGGCGGAGGGGCCTCTTAGGGAATAGGGAAAATGGCTAAGCATGTGTGAAACTTCCTCACAATGGGAAAACATATGGTGGCAAGTTCAGCGCTTTAAGTTCGTGAACGCGAGTTTCCGCACTTGATTTTACAGCTCATCAATTTCTAATACACTTGGGGGCTGGTCATTTAAATAAATTCCAATGATCATCCCAGGTGTTTTGATAAATAAATTTTATTTATATTAAATAAAACTACTAACAGAACTAAAATATGTATTTAATTGTGACAAATGCTTAAAACATTTAGAATTTTTAACTGCCCTATAAGTTTTTGACTAACGTGTTTATATTTTTCTCGTTTGTTATACGAACCGTTAGAGGATCAAAATCAGCTGCTGGCCTCTCACCAGTTTGATGACCCAAAGCGGGAATCTGTCGTTCAAAGTGTCGTTGCCTTTAGTATAGCAAAGGACCCTCTTTATGGGTCCAGAGCACTAAATCAAATTTACATCCCAGCAATCATCATAAAAGAAAGCAGCTGAGCTGGCCCGAGGCAGGTGGATAAGTGTGCACCTCGTTGCGACCCCTCCTAGTAGACACCTATGCAAATGCTGGCCCAGTGCCCCCCTCCCGGATCCCTTTCCCTTTCCCCTTCTCCACTCCCATGTGCGTGCGTGCGAAATCTGCGAGCAGAGGCAAAATGATTAACAAAGGCCCCCTGAGGTGCGGCAACAAGGAGGGTGGTACCAGGATTGGGTGGGGATTTGCACTAGCCGAGCACTACAAAAAATATTTCATTTTAACAAAATGTAGTCAAGAATTTTTATTATATTTACATAGATGTGTTTCAACCCACTTCATACCTTTAATGAGAAAAATCCTTAGTATTTATTTTATTTAGCAAATTTAGTCTGGTATACAATACTAAAACTTTTAGTCTTAAAGTAATGGATTTTAATTTTTGTATGTTGCTATAAAACATTTACAACCAAAGTTACATAGCACGTCATGGATTTCAAATTGATAGGTAGTAATTCCAAATTATAAATTATTATGTCAAGTAGTGATTTGTGTTAATACAGACTTAAAAGATTTTGTTTGAGGTTGGAAAAGTATTTAATGTAAGAAAATACAAAAATTTTGATCTAACAATATGGGCCCATTTTCTAAGCCAATTTTCATGGGGATCTTTAATAAGTAAAACAATATTAAATATGAAGTGTAGATAATAGCTACTTAGAGTTTTTTGATGACTATACTAAATTGAAATGTATTAAAAATTAGGTATTGCTGTTTCTTAAGAGATAATTAAAATAGTGTCGTTTTAAAATATCTTAAAAAACGTTGGATCTTGTAAACCTTTTGGAATTTTTTTAAGGATCAAAGCTCAAAAACTTGTTGGATCTTGTAAATCTTTTGGAATTCTTTAAAGTACCTCCCACCATTTTCTTGGTGTACCCACATGAGGAATTACATCCATCGTCAGTGACACGGACACCGACTGAGAGGGGGACATTGGGACAGGTCCTGGGACAGGGACGGCATGCCCCCTCGGGACAGGCGCAGTGCGGTTGTCAAAACAGCGCCCAGCCCAGCCCAAGCCCCCCTTCAACCCTCTCCGGCGCCCCTGTCCTGTTTAATGACATTCGAGCGGGGAGCGGGCCAAAGGATCCCCGGCGGGAACTCAGGCCGACCGAGTAATTTGTGTCACGTTTTAATTTTTGACGCCGCAAAGGACGTTCAAGTGTCTCCCCTCGTGATTATGACAATTAGGATTGCGTTGGAATCCTTCTCGGTTATTTTGTTTCGCGTATTTAAAAAGGTTTATTGTGTAAGCCTCGCCGGGGGAGCTTTTGTCCAACTTATGTTTGTGCCCATTAAAGTCAGTTTCATGGGGAGTCTGCAGCTGGGGATTAAATCTGATTACTTTTAAAGCTACAACGCCATATGGTAGTTTCAATTAGTAAATGTTGCAAATGTGCGGGGTGACTCTACACATTATTTACTAAAACTTATAATAGAATAATTAATTAAATTGATAAGTCCTGTTTTGCGTATAGAAAAGTGTACAAATAACAATTAATTATATTTAAATAGATTTAACAATGACTAATGGAAAAGATTAAATTATTGAAGCTGTACAAATAACAGAGGTAGCTATAATTTGAAACAATAAGCTATAATTTGAAACAATAAATTAAAAAAAGCTTTGATATAAATTCCATTAGGCACACCTTTTTCAGACTTTTATCGTTCATCAATCGATTGGATAACTGTTTTTATAAACATAACCAATTTTAATAAACGCATTTAAAAATATGTCATCTCAGTAATTGGATAGGTTTGCACATCAATCAATTTGGGGCGTAATTGCAATTTTTATATTAATTCTTTGCTCTACACGTCGAGTGGTTGGCTCAACGCACCGCAAAGTCGACGTCGACTGAAATGCGTCAGAGGAAAGTCCGCCGTCATTAGCCGTGATTTCTCTTCAACTTTCTTCTACAGAAACGCACTTCAGAAAGGAAAATCCTTCCCTCAGCGGACTGTCAAATGGCCTGTCCTGCAAAGGTCCGGCGTTATTCGTCTGCTTTGGAAGCTGACAGGCAGCTTAAAAGTGGCAAAAAGTCAAGCTCCGCTCGCAAAAATGACCGTGTGAAAGGAACCTCAGTGTAAAACAATTTAGTTAGTTTTCCAAAAACCCATTGCAGGAAAATATTTTTAAATATATATAGATCAAACCAACTTTAAAAAAGAAAATAAGTATATTTTTTTGTTTTTTTCAAAATTTGTAAGATGTGGTATATCTAATAAGAATTTAATATATATATATATATAATATATTTAAAGAATTTTGGAAAATAAAGTTACTAAAATGGTATACCTTAAAATTTTGAAAAAATATATTATATATACTACTGTGGGCAAAACGTAAGGTAAATTTGTTTGTAAAATGAAAAATCTTTATTTGCTCTTCTAAATCAATTGCATCTCCTTCAATGTAATTCCCTCCTGATAAAATACTCTCATGCCAACGTTTTTTAACTCCTCGAAACATGCCAAATAGTCCCTTTCCGGAATAGCCATCAGCGCCTTCTTCGATTTGGCTTTTATCTCCTCAATCGACTCGCGTTCCCCAGAGTGGTCTCTTGAGTTTTGGGAATAGTCAGTAGAGCCAAATCAAGCGAATACAGTGGTTGCGGAACTACATGTGTCGAAATTGTATCGGAATGGTAATGAAGAACGAGTGATATATGAACCGGGCATTATTATTAATTCATTATGCAAAAACAAAGAGTTGTTGCTGCCCATAATTCTGGTCTAATTAGAAGAAATGCTTAACTAGGCATAAAGCTCAAATAGTCGTTCTTATTAACAGTTTGGCCGAATGGATGAAATTCATAGTCCACCTCATAACACAAAAATCAATAAAACAAATGTATCTTACTTTTTGCCCACAAGAAAAAAATTTTTAAGATATGCTAATAGTACATGGTAATCATATTTTAAAGTTGATTTTATATATATAAACCCTAAAACTATTACTTAAATTAAACGTTTCAGCATCGAAAGGCACTATTTTTTCCAGTCATCAATTCAATTGGGTTTAAGTGGTGTTTCCTAACCAGTTACCGCCTTCTTTATTGGGAACCCCTCGGAAATGTCATAGGCATGGCTTGCATTTTTCTATCCTCCTGCCCTTTCCTGGTTCTATGGCAGTTTCC